TGCAAATATTTTTGTGAGGGGGTCTTATTTTTTTTTTCATCATAAGACGTTGAAATAAGGTTGACAACATCATAATTGTTAATCAAATGACTTAGTGGGTTTGTTGCTAGGACAATTCTTAAACAGAGAGTTTAGTTCTCAGCTCATAATTTAAACTACCGCAACATTTATACTGGATTATTAGACCCAATCATTTTCTGAAAAATAATGATACGCATACTTTTTTGTCTTGAACACTTCAAAAATAACAAGGTTAATATTACAATTATTTACTGGCAGAAGAATTAACATACTGTGAGTAGAAACGAATCCTTCCTCTTCCGAACTGCCAGCTTTGCACTCTTCTGCTAACGGGAGTCCATTTTTTTTCCTAAGTTTTTCACTGAGCACACATTAGATATTTAGCATTTCAGTATGCTTTGAAACAAAACCATTTTTAAGTCACATGATTTAGCATTATACTCTGATCTACATTGAAAATTAAATACAGGTAGTCCTTGATTTACAACACTTCGTTTCACAAACATTCAAAGTTGTGATGGCATTGAAAAAAGTTACTTATGACTGTTGCAGCATCCCCCCCAATCGTGTGATCAAAATTCCAGGTGCTTTGCAACTGGCATATATTTACAATGCTTGCAGCATCCCAGAGTCACATGACTGCCATCTGTGTCTTTCCCAGTCAGCTTCTAGCAAGTAAATGGGTGAAACTGGATTCATTTAGCAACCATGGTGATTCACTTCATGACTGCAGCGAAAAAAGGTCAAAAATCTGGCACAACTTACTTAATTGAGTAAGTTGAGCCGAGGTGGCGCAGTGGTTAAATGCAGCACTGCAGGCTACTTCAGCTGACTGCAGTTCTGCAGTTCGGNCTATACCATTTCAGACAAATGGTTATCCAGCATCTTCTTAAAAACTTCCAATGTTGGAGCATTCACAGCTACTGGAGGCAAATTGTTCCACTGATTAATTGTTCTGTCTGTCAGGAAATTTTTCCTCAGTTCTAAGTTGCTTCTCTCCTTTATTAGTTTCCACCCATTGCTTCTTGTTCTACCCTCAAGTGCTTTCAAGAATAGTTTGACTCCCTCTTCTTTGTGGCAATCCCTGATATTGGAACACTGCTATCATGTCTCCCCTAGTCTTTCTTTTCATTAAACTAGACATATCATGTTCCTGCAACCGTTCTTCATATGTTTCAGACTCAGTCCTCTAATCATTTCTATTGCTTTTTTCCTGTGCACCGCTTGGAGAGTCCAAGCAACGGGTTGCCCCTGGGACTGAGGAATCTTTTTCCTTGGCCACACCTCCTGGTGTTGCTAGTCCCCAGAATTTTTCCTCAGTCTGCCCGTTCAGGACTGTTTTTGTGAGCTCCAGCTAAATTTTTCCCTAGGCTTGGACTCTCCATTCTAAACCTCCTTTTTTCTTCTTCAATACTTTCCCCCTTTTTCCCCCTACCATCAGAGTGCCTTTTTCTTCATTTGTGTGTCTTCTATAATGTCATCGATTCCCTTGGAGGCCAGGAGGTAGGCATGGTGGTCGTGGGGTGCTCCATTGCTGCGCCGCACTTAGTGCTTGGACACTCTGCAGCTCCTAGAGAAGGACCATTCAGGTAAGCCAACGGTCTTTCGCCCCCCCCCCCCATTGGGCTCTGATCACGGAGAACACTTGGGTCCTCCACACCGTCAGGGTGGGACTCTCCTTGGAGTTCCTATCCCAACCCCCTCAGAACTTCATCCACTGCCCAACTCTCTCCTGCCACCTCAAGACCCAGGAAATCCTTCATCTCCTGGAGATCAACGTGGTAGAGCAGGTTCCACCCGACCAGGAAGGAAAGGGGTTTTACTCCATTCTCTTTCTGGTAGCCAAGAACTCGGGGAGAGGGCCATCTTGGACCTCAAGAATCTCAACAGGCACATCGCTTACCGGAGGTTCAAGATGCAGTCCCTGCAAACCATCCTGGCAGGGATCTGCCAGGGAGATCTCCTCATTTCCATCGATTTAAGGGAGGCGTACCTCCACATTCCCATCTGACCCCACCACAGAAAGTTCCTGCGGTTCTATTATGCCGGCCGACACTATCAGTACAGGGCTCTCCCATTCAGCCTGTCGTCAGCATTCAGAATCTTCACAAAGGTCCTATCAGTAGTTGTGGCTCAGCTCAGGCGCAGACCCATATGGCTCCAATGTTACCTGGACGACATCCTCATCCAATCGTTGTCCAGGCAACAAGACTTGTGGGAACTCCGCATCACCATCAGGTCTCTCAGGGGTCACAGGTTCTCCTTGAACCTGGAGAAAAGCCATCTCATCCCAACCACCAAGCGGACTCACATCGTGCAGGGTGTTCCGCTCCCAAGACAGGATAGACGGCCTAGTGTCCATGACCCACAAGGTGTTAAGAGCAAAGCAGGTTCCCGTGCTCCTCCTATCACAGCTGTTGGGGAAAATGATCTCCTGCATCTCAGTCATCCCCTGGGCTCGGCTACATTCCAGAGCGTTACAGCGCCACCAGAGAGCCAATAGGAGCAACTCATCCATGATGGTATGCGTTCCTCCATCAGTGAAGAGATCCCTCTGGTGGTGGCAGTCATCAGCTCTTCTCAAGGGACATCTGTTCAAAGAGTCCACCAGGTTGGTCATCACAACAGACGCCAGCCTCACCGACTGGGGGGCACACATAAAACATCTAGTGACTCAGGGCAAGTGGTCTCTGTCGGAAGCAGCCTGCAACATCAATCTCCTGGAGCTGCGGGCTGCTTCCAATGGAGGCTAGCTCTGCGACATTTCCACCTGGACATTCAACATCAACACGTTCTGATGACAGACAATGTGGCCACCAAGGCGCACATAAACCGCCAGGGTGGCACCAGGTCCAAGAGATTTATGGCAGAGGCGGAGGCCCTGGGCCACTGGGCGGAACACCATCTCGTATCCCTCCGTTAATACTCCATAATACTCGGGTGGACTGGCTGAGCAGGACCACCATAGACTCTGCAGAGTGGCGATTGGATCCGGCGCTGTTTTGTCAGTTGTCTCGCATGTTCGGCACCCCAGTAGTCGACCTGTTCGCCACCAGAGACAGCACGCAACTCCAACGTGTTGGGGACGAATGGGACGGATGCTCTCCGATGCAGTTGGCCCCAGGGTCTGCTGTACGCCTTCCCTCCTCTCCCGCTTGTTCCACAAGTGATCAGCAAGATCATCGCAGAAAGGCCGGAGGTGGTCCTTGTAGCCCCCCACTGGCCTCGGAGGTCATGGTACACTGACCTTGTCAGCCTGTCGGTGTCTCCTCCATGGCGAATTCCTCGGGATCAGATCTCCCTCAGCCAGGGGGCCATCATCCATCCAGAACCCCAGTGGCTCAAGCTAGCTGTCTGGCACTTGAGGGGAACCTCCTGAGGACCGAGGGCCTGTCGGAGGAGGTGGTGCATACCATTCAGGCTTCTAGACGCCCCTCTCTATGTCTCCTCCTGGGCTACTTTCGCCAAGTGGTGTGACTCCTACCATCTTGACCCTGTTACCGCACCTGTGTCCCGCGTTTTGGACTTTCTCCAAGGGGGGCTCGAAAAAGGCCTTGCTCCGAATACTCTTTGTCGTCAGGTGGCAGCTCTATCCACCATTTGGTCCAGTGATCCGACCCTGCCCCTCAACAGGATTCCCAAGGTTCGCTGTTTCCTCAAAGGCGCTTCCAAATTGTGTCCACCAACGGTGCACCATTACCCCACCTGGCAGCTGTCGGTGGCCTTACCTCACTGCATTTTGAGCCTCTGCGTACTTCATCTCTTCGCTATCTTACCTTGAAAACTGCCTTTCTCATCGCAATAACATCTGTGAGATGCATATCTGAGCTGGCAGACCTATCAGTCCGGCAAGACCTGTGTATTATATACCCTGACAGAGTTGTCCTGCGTCTAGACCCAGCCTTCATTGCGAAGGTTAACACTTGATTCCACAGGGCGCAGGAAGTCATCCTGCCTAACTTCTGCCTGCATCCCTCTCACCCAAGGGAATGTACCTGGTAAAGACTGGACGTCCGACGGGCTCTGCGGATATACATCAGGCGCAATGCAGACTTCCGCAGGTCATAGGCCCTCTTTGTGTCGTTCCAGCCTGGCTCCTTGGGCAAGAAGGTGTCATCTTCCACGGTAGGCAGGTGGCTGAGAGCATGCATCGCTGCTGCCTACGAACACCAGTCCAGGGCGGTGCCTAGACACATTACCGCTCACTCGACGAGAAGCGCAGCCACCACTGTGGCCTGGGCCACCCAGGCCACCATTGATGACATCTGCAGGGCGGCCACTTGGTCTTCACCATCACCCTTTGTCAAGAACTATAAATTAGACATGTATGCTTCGACTGAAGCTTTGTTCGGCAGGAGAGTTCTCCAGGCGGTTGTTCCCACGACCGAATCCCCGGACTGCCTTTCTGCCCGCCCAGATGGCACATAACTTGGGTATGTCCCATTGCTTGGACTCTCCAAGTGGTGCACAGGAAAAAGACCATTGGTTTACCTGAAGGGTACTTTTCTGTGCACCACGGGAGAGTCCAACCCACCCTGGCTACACCGTCCAGGGATTTGTGATTGTCGTGTCAACTTGGACTTACCATTCTATGATTCTTCACACTTCCAGTCTTCACGGTTCCAGACCATCTCAAAATTCTGGGGACTAGAAACACCAGGAGGCGTGGCCAAGGAAAAAAATTCCTCAGTCCCAGGGCAACCAGACTGAATTAACCTATTGCTTGGACTCTCCCGCGGTGCACAGAAAAGGACCCTTCAGGAAAACCAATCGTCTTTCTCAGCACTCTTTCTAGAGTCTCCTCATCTTTTTTTACATCGTGGCGACCAAAACTGAATGCAGTATTCCAAGTATGATCTTACCAAGGAATTATAAAGTGGTATTAACACTTTGTGTGATCTTGATTCTATCCCTCTGTTCATATAGCCTAGAACTGTGTTGGCTTTTTTGGAAGCTCCACACACTGCTGGTTCATATTTTAATGGTTGTCCACTACGACTCCAAGATCCCTCTCACAGTTACTACTATTGAGCAAGGTTCCACATATATTGTATCTGCGCATTTTGTATCTCTCTCACAGGAGGAACTCTGGTCAGTGAAAAAAACAAAACAGTACTAAGCAAAGAGCTTTCACTAGCAAGGAGAGAATGGTGCAGGAATAAGATAATAAATACTCCCCCACATTTCCTTCACCCCAAACCATTACAATATGCTCACTTCAGGAGAAGATGTATTGAGGATCAATTTCATAACTCAAATCACTCTTTTAATAAAATGATAATTACATGTCCTTCTTTCCCCTCTTTTGTACCATTGACTTTGTCTCGACTCCTAATAATAACATGCACTAGTCTCTGTGATTTTCCTGGCAACATGTTTTTAGAAGTGTTTTGCCCTTGCCTTCTTCGAGTTAAGAGAGAAAGTGTTAAAGGCAGGATAAAAACTAATTCCTTGCTCCTAGTCCAATGCCTTATATTTTAGAAAAACAATTTAGGAGCTTTCTTTTTGTGATCCAGTAGTTGAAGTTCATTGCTTTGGGTGTTAAGGAAGAAAAGCAACCTAAATCACAATGGAAAATATTCTCTGATTTTATGTTAGGTATTATTGAGCCTGGTTGGGCTACCTGAAGATTATACAGTCTGACATTTAAGCATTTTGTGATTTGCAGGGTAGCAGAACACTTTCATTACGTGCATTATATATACACCTATTATTAATCCCAGGAACTCAACAATAACCAGATCATCTTGTTTTGAAATATGACCTATTCACCAATATTTGGCTGTGATGTCAACTGTGCCTGGAAAGCGCATGTCTGACCTTTCTCAAAGTTACTTGATATGTAGCTCTACACAGTGAGTGTGACACAAGCAAAATAATTTAACACATTGCTATTCAGCGTTTCTTAAACTATAGGACAAAATCATTATAAGTTCTTGGTAAAATGAATGATGCAAAAACAGAAGGACAATAGAACTCTTAACCCAAATGTGATTTTAAAAATACCTCAAAAATATAAGACCTTGGAAACAGGGATGCTTTGAAGATATTACATGTATAACACATGTAAAGTAAGTCGACTGTGGAAAAGTTAGAAAAATGCTAATAAGCATAGGGAAAAATCATTCCAAACAGTCTTCAAGGAAGCAGGTACAAAACGGATTTTATCTTAATCTGTTATCTTCTCTGAAAAGTTGTCTGAAAATAAATACATCAAAGTTTCTCCAAACTGAACAAAATGCTTTGTCTTCCAACATGATGCAAAAAATAAACTAGAATACCATTTAGTCATGAGAAGATCAGGTTTTTCAAAACTTTAACTTCATAGCTGTCATGATTTTCTGAACCATCCCTTTGACATTTTGTACATCTTCTTCATGCTGTAGATCAATGACTTTTTCATCCCTTTAAATTAAGAAATATTATGTAAATAACGGATAGAAAACTTAAATACGATAGAATTCAACAACCTACATTCATAAACTTAGCCATATAACCTATCAGTTGGTGAGTTGCTAACATAGGGCACTGCACCATAAATTCATTAGATAATTTATTGTGATAATTAATTAAAGCAGTTGCACAAAGCTATAAACACTTTTCCCCATTCAAAACTGCTAGGGCTCTTTTCTTTTTACTATTCAAATACAAATTAAGAGATTCTTAATTTAAAATACAGTATTATTCACAAAGTTGTTTTCCTGGTTTAATTGCTATTATAAATGATTATAAATGATTATAATTACTTTGATGACAACTTTTCAATGTATATATTACTAGCATTAAAACATATTAAGGAATTTTATGTGATACTAAATAAACTGCTTTCCTTTTCCATGATCACTCTTGATTCTTGTTCTGTTAATTTATGCCTTTGAAAGCCAAAGAATAACTTTAGTCAATTACCCAGGAGGTGTTTTTTTTTAATTACCTGGTAAATCACACTACCATTTTATGGTTAACTTTTAGCCTATTTGACAAGACTCATGGACCCATTTACCTATTAAACTAGTCCCCAATACATTTCTGAAAAGGTTAGTTTCTCAATCTTACCCTGCTGTCTCTCGTGAGTTCAGACTCCAGAGAAGGAGTAGGCAAATCTTCAAGATTTTAGTCAGCCTTTTTGTATTGCTATGTAATTATATAGCATATGTGCACAGAATTGACAAAGTAGTTCCTTCTTAGTTTTGCATTTTGTCACTTTCTAAACTTATTGCTATTCTCACTTTAGGTAAATGAAACCAATCCCCCATCCTTTGAGAGTACATCTAAGTCTGATTTCTATTTTTCACTTCCATATAACCTTACAAACAGCAGTTGCTTCATTTATTATGTGCCATTAGTGCTTGCTATATTCATGTAATACATAATATTTTGTTCACTCAAAATGAAGCAAAGTAATATTTATTAAAATGGATGTCAAGCATAGGCCCAAAGCACTATGGAAAGCAGATCATGTTCATATCCCAGGAGGGATGTCTTTATTGACATGAATAGGTTTTGACCCTTAAATAAAACATGACTTATTTGCATTTCTATTTACTTTTGTCCAGGCCCTCCATTTTAACTTGAATAATGTTCTAATAATGTTCTAAGCACATCTGGGGTCTACAATACATTTCAGTCTTTGATCATCTGGGGATCTCTTTACTAAGGCAACAACAATAACAAAAATTCTGTCTTTTCCCTTAGAAGTGCTTTTTTTCTCTGCCCACCTTGATTTTTACTTTTGCACTACATAACATCTCCAGGTGTCTAAGCTTTCCTTCATCCACCTGGGACATCCATGACAGATTTAGATGTTGAGCAAGATTTTGCAGTCTCTGGAAGCCTCTGGCCTGCGTGCAGTTGGATACCAATGTTGTATTAGGAACTAACCCTGCCTGTTCAACCAGTATATTTGTAAGTAAATATTATAAACTCTTCAGGAATCCCCTCAAGGAAATCTAGCCCATCAGGGGCACCTTTTAGAAATTTCAAATAAACCCTCTTCTCAGTTAACGAAGTGCAGCAGGACTGCAGGTAGATTTTTTCCTGATGTTGATGCAGCTACTGATATGCATTTGGTCAGTGCAAAATATATCATATGGAAAGTTTTCATTTCAGGTAGGAATGAAGACCATCTGGTGTTGCCTCATACAGAGATATCCTTTGCCTTATGCATGAACAGTCTGGGAGAGGTCACAGACCAGATGTACAAGAGTGACACTAAGCAAATGAAAGGAAATGTGATCCAGTGGCAAACAAATTTAATAAAATAAAAAATCTAGAAAACGTTTCTGTTGTTATTCTGACACTCTCTCTCTCTCTCTCTCTCTCTCTCTCTCTCTNCACACACACACACACACACACACACATCTTTTGAGAGGATTTCATTGAAGATACAGCATGTCCATGAAGAGATCATATAAATGCACTCTACTGACTTTTCAGCATTGCTCTTTGCTTTTGGCAGCAGAGTCAACACAATCCTCAACAGATAGCTCACTTTCTGGCTCGCTCACCCCGCCCCACAGCCCAGCTGATTTGCCTGCCTCACCTGTTCTACTAACCGTGGCTGACCTGGCAGGTGTGGAAGAAGTCTCCCCCATTGGAAAAGCTTTGTTCTAAGTCCCGTGCGTGTGCTCACATTTTGAACCGTTTGTTAAAGTATCTGTAGCCCACCTCTAAACAGATGTATATAGGAATCAAAAAGAAGTTAGTTGGGAAGGAAATATGAGTCTTGGGCCTGTCATCTGAGATTGCATGTATTTGGAAGACAGGCTCAAAAACAGTCTTGGATAATATTATCTGCCATGTGTATGTAAGTATTTATAGTTCAATAAGACCATGGAAAAACCCAGCAAAACACCTCTGGAAACTCAGCAAGTTACTGGCATTTCCCTCATAGATCAGCAACATTTCTTCGGAAGCATAAATTTTATAATAGTAGAAGCACAAGATTTAAGAAATTCAAAAACCACGTTGACAAAACCAGAAACGGAGACCTCGCTTTTTGAAATATGCCTTTAATTAACCGAAGCAAAAGAAGCTGATTCAAAAGTCCAAGTCATACAACCCATCCTTCATTTTTTTCATACATATATAAGAAAAAAATATTTTTATTTTCTTTTTAGTGCAAATAAATACGTGAGCACATTAAAGGACAGCCAAAGGGGGTGGGGGTTGGGATCAGACTGAGAAGGCTGTAGAACAGGAGTGTCCAACTTTAGCAACATTTAAGACTTGTGGACTTCAACTCCCAGAATTCCCCAGTCAGCAAAATTCAAAGAGGTAAAGTCCACAAGACTTAAAACTTCCAAGGTTAGACATCTCTGATATAGAAAAGTAAGGCAAAGTGGTTGATTATAATAGTAGTCACAATATATTTCTTCACTGTGTATCAACAGTTATCTTATTTCATTCCAAAGCTTTCCTTCTTTTAAGTTCTCTTCCCGATGGCCCTCAGAGCTTTCCTGACCCGTTCCAATGCTTTCTCTTCCTGGGGCACTTGCGTGGTGTTTCCTTTGTTCTCCATGTATTCTTCTGAGGAGCTTTGGTCGATGCCGCATCCAGACTTCATGCACTCGCAGCGTTCTACATGGATGTACCTGTATTTCTTTCTGATGTCACCAGGACACAACAGCATGATTTCTTTCTTGGTTGTTTTTGACTCTCTGCAGCAGCTGCACGTATGTCTCATGGAATTAGCTTCGTGAGAGTATCTGTTTTCATAATGCAAAACGAAGAAAGAGTTAGTTGCATTTGCTCACGTTATGTGTGATTTTAAAGAGGGTGCTTGTGCTGAAGATCGGGGATGTGATGTTGCAGAACCTCTACCATAAGAGAAGAAAATTTTCCACTGCTTATTTTCAGGAGCTTAAACTATGTCTTCCATAATATCCAGCCAAGGTATAAGGTCCTTTAAATATTGAGCCATCTTTTAAAATTAAGGCAGAAAAACCCAGCCTTTTTTATTTAGGAGAATTAAAAGGACCAAAGTAACCCAGGTCTGGCTGAACTTAGGGCAAATTAATTGAATCTACTATACCCGTGATGGCGAACCTATGGTAAACGTGCTACAGGTGGCATGGGGAGCCCTCTCTGCGGGCACACGAGCCATTGCCCAGCTCAGCTCCACCGTGCTTGTGTGCATGCCTCCCACTGGCCAGCTGATTTTTGGCCCTCTGCCGCACATGTGGGGGGGAGGTGTGGGGGCGGGACGGGACTGCAGGGATGCCCCACATCCCATTTTTGGTCCCAGGAGGCTTTAGGGAGGCCTACTAGACCCAAAATGGGTTGCATGTGTCTGTGTGCGGCAATCTCCCCCCCCCCCCCGGGCAGCCTCTGTTTGGTTCCAGGAGGCTTCAGGGAGGCTTGCTAGACCCAAAACGGGCCATGGTGGTGTGTGTCACACGTGCATGTGGGGGTGTAATGGGGGGGGGGTTTGACATTGCATTAGAGGTGTGGGCATGCATCATGTGTTGTTGTGCACACACACACACACTTTCAGCATGCAAGGACAAAAAGGTTAGCCATCACTATATTATACTATTCACTATTTGGCTACTCCAAAAGATTACCTTATTATATTCCTACCACTAGCAATATCATTTTTAAAACCCATCAGAAAACATGGCCACAGAGGGTTAGATCCAGAAATTCATCCATTGAAGTGAATATATGGAAGATTACTGCTTTATCTTTTATTTTTCCCATAGACAATCAAAACTGTCATTTTCATTTTATGAAAATGTTCCTCCAAATAGGAGGTGATTCTGCTGAAGAGGTGGGCTGAGTCAAGAGACTGAGGTTAAGGAAAAGGGACAGTGAGAAATTCTAGCAGAAGCACCTTCTCTGAGAAGACATCTTCATCCCAAAGTCTGGTGAATTCTCCTCCAGTAAATCTCCCAAAATTTATCTTTGTTAATTTGGAAAGTCCAATGAAGGGTTGGAATCTTTAAATAGTCCATATTATTAAATAATTAATGTTATTCATATACAAATAATAGTTATAGCTTTGACAATTAATATTTAAGATTGTTTCTCAGGAGGAAGACCTCAGTTCAAACACGCTCAACATCATCCACTTTTTTAATATCTGAATTTTTATTTCCCCCCCTACAATCCATATCTTCAACTTGCTTTTCCAAGGAAAACCAAATTGCATCTTTGGCAGCAGCCCTAAAGCTTATTCCCTACAATTCAGTTTTAATAAGGTTTTCAATTGCCCATAATAATCTATACATCAGGAATTTGCCTATTATAATCCATTCTTCCAAGTAGAAACCATTCATTAACCTTATTTCATTTATCAAAATAATCTGTTTTCCATGTCTATCATTGTATGGCTGGGAATGGGAAAAAAAGATAATTTAATAACTTTGAACAAAGATAAAAAGCTGGAGTTGTCTTGCACACAAGCATATCAGTGGATTTCAGCATTTTACATACAATGAAAAAGTTTCACATCTTCCTTCACACCGAGTCACAGGGACTAGTTCCTCTGAATGGCAGCCATTGTACTTGATGTAGTCCATTGTTTGAGTGGGAGTGCACGATGGGGTATCTGGCCTCAATATACCTATCAAAAAAGAGGAATAAAAAGATGGTCATTCAAATACAAGCATAAACTTCAAGCTTTTTGTTCTCCTGGATGGAGCGTTCAGCAAAGTCAACAATTTTCTCTCCAAAATTTGTGACAAATGCCTAGTTAAATGTAATTTGGTTGGGTATATGAACAGGAAAGAATGCCCATGAAAATTTCAAAAGCAGATATTTTCAATAGGAAAATTAAACCATTATCAACCTTTCCAATGGAACGAGTGAGTATTTTTTTGAAAGTTAATTTTTGCATAGAATTTTTCAATAGAGTACAAATAGGGATGCTTCTATTAGTTTTAAGTTGGGAAGATATAAAAAATACAAATGAAGAGAATTAATTTTCCTGTGCCTTATCTGAACACAAATGCCACATTACAAAAAAAAAAAAGTTAAAACAGCTGCACAAATAACTAACCCAAAATTTATATAAATGAGCATCATTAGCCTAGCATCTATACATGGCTATCCAATCACCAAGCTCATTGAAAAAAATCTGTTAAATTGAGAACCTATCCCATTTCCTCTTCCAGGTGTAAAGTTCTATAATCTAGCAGATAGATAACAGCTTCCTTTCTTCCAGGCATGTTCCTGGAAGGAACTAGGAAAACCTTCTGTTTCCTCAACATTTTAGTGGGATTTTCATCTCTTACAAAATATCAAGGAAAATTAAGGGAAATCCTTAATAAACCTATCATGTAAGAATGCCATATGGCAACATTTACAATTCAGTTTAGTTTCGTTGACGGGACAAAGCTCTAAACCTTTATTATCTAGAGCCAATCATTCTTTAAATCACACCAATACAACCTTTTTAACTAGGGATTTTTTCATATTTGCCAATTGTTCTTTTTAACACAGTTCATTAATCAAGCAAATATGTATAAGTAAAGCATCAATAGAATGAGCATCACTTGTATTCCATCAAATTATTGATTTTCTTCAATAGAAAAGCAATAATTTGCTAGAGTGCAAATGGATGAACCTATCTCAAATAAATATTGATTGGTATAATTTAATTGCCCCTCCCCCTTCCTCATTGTATAAAGACTAATTCCTTAGAATGGAAGTGTTTATAGTTTTATAATACTTACATGTCTTACAACATCCACCAGGCAAGGGTACAATGGTGCCCTGCAAACAAAATAATAATATAACAACAATATGAATAATCACCTACTAGGACTGCAAATTGTACTGAAATAATTGCTCTTATGTTCTGCAATGTAATATCCACCATGTTTCCTAAGAATTATGGGATTTGTAGGTTATGATATTGCATGGGACACATAGGGTGGAGAACAACTTTCCTTCTACCTTATTTCTTACATGAAGAACAAGTGAGAAAAATATGCTAATCTCAAACATGATCATGGTGCAGATTCCTTTACTCCATAAGTTATTTGAAGGAAGAATTACTTCCTTCTATAGTGGAACTATAAACATGTGTTTGTATCTTTCTATTCTGTATTGATCCTACTGGGATTACCCTGAAGCCTAAGAACTATCCACATTGCTTAATTGCCTTGTCACCAGAACAGGTCATGATCCATTTTTGAACAATAGAAGTAGATGATATCTGTCTGAAATGTTCCAGAATTCTTAGTATTCTTTAAAGAATCATCATCATCATCATCATCATCATCATCATCATCATCATCATCATCATCATCATCATCATCA